CGTGCATCCGAACATGATCACGGCTAAAACAGCCGCGCGTCGTGTATCACAACAAAAAGGTACATGTACCTTTTTTCTGCGATTGTCTCGCGGATGTCACCCCATTGACCCCAATCGCTGTCTGCAATTGTGCAGGACTGCGCAATCCCGGATCGCTCAGGTCTGCACCGGGCCTCAATGCTACACATGTGCATGCTCTATCCTTCTGTCACACAATATTGCGCTACGCCACCCCTGCCACAGAGGGAGAGATATCTCACTGCAGTTGCCCTAAGGGTTCCTTGACTAACCATTGATTCAGGCTAGGTTCACACCTAGGCGACTGAGCTGACGAGCAGTTTTCGCATGTTTTCGATTGCGCGACTGTTCTTTGAAAAACGTGCGGTTGTCGCACAGTTTTCAATGCATAGAGATGTCTATGGGACCCAAACCGCGCGACAACTGGCCGAAAATAGCTCCTGTACCGTTTTGCGATTTCATTTGCGTGACAAACTGCAAAGGTGTGCACAGCCTCCATTGACTTCTATACGAATCTGTAGTTTGCGCGATAGCGTGCAACTTAAAATGCGCGATGTATCGCCTAGGTTTGAACCTAGTCTTAAAGGACATTCTTCTCCCACTGTCCATTGTGAGGACCCACTAGCCATTAATGTAAGGGACCCTTCCTTGCTGATCACCAAAGTAAGGGAGGGCCTTCTCCTCTGACCATCAATGTAGAGGGTACCTTTCCACTGACCACTAATGTACAGGGACCTTCTCCACTGATCCTTCATGTAAAGGATACTTTTTTACTTACGGCTAATGTACGCGAATCTCTGCACTACCAATCAATGTAGAACATACTTTTCCACTGACCCCAAATGTACAGCAGGGCCCTCTCCACTAGGCATCAATGTAGAGGGTACTTGTCTACTGACCACAAATGTACAGGGACCTTCTCCACTGATCGTCAATGTAAAAGGTACTTTTCTATTGATGATTAATGTATGTGGGGTCCCTCTACTGGCCATCAATGTAGAAGGTATTTTTCCATTGACCCCTAATATAGGGAGGGGGGCGGGCATTCTCCACTGACCATTAATGTAGAGGTTACTTTTCCACTGACCACTTATGTATGGGGGCCTTCTGCAATCGCCATTAATGTAGAGGGTACTTTACCGCTGACCACTAATGTACAGGAGGGGGGGTTCTCCACTGACCATCGATGTAGAGGGTACTTTTCCACCGACCACTAATGTACGGGGACCTTCTCCACTGACCATCAATGTAGAGGGTACTTTACCGCTGACCACTAATGTACGGGGTGGCCTTCTCCATTGACTATCATTGTAGAGGACATCTGTATAGAATAAGTCAAGGCAACTGGACTTGCTGTACTTTTCTTGAACACGTTTCAAGAAAAATGCAGCAAGTCCAGCGCCTTGACTTATTTTTTACAGATATACCATGACCTGGATGAATGAGAACCTTCACAGACATTGTAGAGGATATTTTTCCACTGACCACTAATGTATGTGGAGCCTTCTCCACTGACCATCAAGGTAGAGGATATTTTTCCACTGACCACTAATGTAAGCAGGCCCTTCTCCACTGTTTTTTATGATTATATCTACAATTTACTCATCACGCTAATTATTTTTGTCAATCATGTTCAACTTATGACAACGTTTTTAATCTGCTTGGTACTTAAAAGAGAACTATAGGGTCAGTGCTTTTCCCCATAGTTCTCCTAAGGGTAACGGGAGGACACAATATAGCGTCCTCCCGTCACCCAAACTCAGTATACTGCGAGCTGTAGCTGTCTGGATCCACTCAGCTGCGTGAGTGACAGCTGGCTCTGCCTATCTAGAGGCAGAGCCAGCTGTACCCACCCCTGCCCCATCAGTTCCGCCAGTCAGCGCTGGAGGATCGGACAGTGAAGGGGGAGAATCCCTGCAGGGAGCCGTGAGTGACAGTCACGGCTCTATGCAGGCACAGGGTCGAGAAGTGGGCGAGCGACGGTATGTGTTCGCTCACTTCCCGATCTATTGAGCCGACATGTGACAGTTTCATTGTCACACGTCGGCTCGAACTCTGAGGCTGAGTGATTTTCACTCGCCTCATAGTTCTCCTTTAAGAGAAACTTACATCAGGCTGTCTGCATGTGAGAGACAGCAGAAACCAGCAGTGGGCGTGTTTGGGAGTAGATATCCTACGTCACAAGCAGAGGTTCCCAGATCACTAACAAAAGTGGCTTGGATGGACTAGCATGGCTGGGGGCCCCAATGAATATGAACCTTCTGTAGAAATGAATTATGCTGTGGCAGATGTGTGCACTAGGCAAGGGACCCATTTGGAATGTTTCTCTTCCAAAGGCTGTGATGGACAGTGAAGAACACAGGAACAAGGATGAAGGCAAGTATTTTAGTGTGTGGGCTACACTGAGAAGGTGGGCAACTTCACTAAAAGTCTGTCCTTTAAACCCTTCACCCCTGGAGCAATTACAATGTACCCTCCACCAAGTAGCATGGACAAAGATAAGAGTGGGTCAGTTCCTAGGACAAAAGGGTAAAAAGGGGCAGTGCCAAGCCTCAAATTTACAAACTGTGTTTCTTTCATATTTCCTTTTCCTCCTCGTGACATTCAAGGTTAAAGTCATCATCTGAAATATCAGAAGGCTCATACAATCCAACAAACATGATACCATCTCTCCTTTCTCTTATCTTTATAGCCTGTATAGGTAAAACATAAGCATAAAGCAGCCAGCTCATTTCCTCATACTGAACGTTATAGAAGTAGTAAAACAATGTGATGGCGCAAAGGGTGGAGCTTGTAAAAAAAAAAGGCCAAAAACATTCAGGCTTGTCTAGGGTGACATGATGAGTAAATGAAACTCTGCTCCCAATGGTACATGATCAAGACAAATAAAGCTAGGCATAGAAAGAGGGAGAACTGCCGCAAATTGCTCAGACTGAATCCCATTGCGTTTGCCCCGGGGGCAGACGTCATCTCCCTGGCTCAAGCTAAAAGGGCACTTGTAATGCATATACAATGATATACTGTTCTTTTTTTTTTTGCATACAAAAGAGAACAATCAGCACAGAGAGGTGCTCGTTATCACCCGATAGAAGAACCATACAAGTCTGCATAGTTGGTCAGTCCTCACAGGTCAAAACTCAATTTAGCTGCGGAGGGATGTACCTGCTTTGTAGATCCTTTGCCATGTGTTGACTTTGGTGGCAGACCGGCCTATGTATAGACAGTATGGTCTATGAAATGCTCAAAGTCTATAAGACACAAAGCAGCTGACACCATATTCTGGGTCGCTTGACCTGATCTTCCAACTTGGTATAATGGAAAAATTATGTGACTGATCATTGTATTCTCCAAAAGCAACCTGACATGGGTCAGGAGGAAGACTTGAAGCTCCATTTTGAGAAAGACATATATTGTAGTTGCTCCAATAGTGCCACCAGTACAGCTTAAAGTGCACCTGTCATAAAAGAAGTATAAATGCTGCAAATGCATGCTGCATTGCAAGACTGGCAGTTACAGGCATGGCTCCCAGAACAAAGCTTGTTTGGATTTGTAGTTAAAGCACAGCTGGAGGGCCGGAGATTCCCACCCCTGCCCTAGACCAAAATGAGCACTTAACCCTTGCAGTGTAGGATAGCCCCGCTGTAACAGTACTTTTTTGTTTGCTTAAAACTCTTCTTTAAAGAGGAACTCCAGGAATCTAAAAAGTTAACCCTTGCAGTGGGACTACCCCCACGCTACAAGGGTTAAGTGCTCATTTTGATCAAGGGGCTCAAATAAAAATAATTTACTCACCGGATCCTCGGTCTCATCTGGCTGCTAGAGGGGGGCTCTTCTCCCCTGGGCTGCGACAGTCTAGGGATCTGTTGCAATTGATGGAGGTGCCCTCCGCACACCTTTCAGCAGTCCCGGCCAACAATCAAATAAATGGTGCTCGAAGTAACTTCACGGATGGCACCGTGCAAAACACAAGATTGAAGAAAATAGGTCACCAGCACTCCATAAGTTAAAATGAATGAGTCCTTTTAATGGACAATGATGTCACAGAAATCCAACATGAGCCGACGTTTCGGGGCCACACAGGGTCCCTTCTTCAAGGCAAGAGAAGAAGGGATCTGTGACATCACCGCATCGAATTAGATGTGAGGGCGCCAAGGGACATCCCACAGCGGAGGGGGAGAGAGGTGAGTGCTCATTGACCAAGGATCAGGCAAGTATACTTTATTTTAGCCCCTAGACTAGCGGTAGGCAACCTCGGCTCTCCAACTGTGCTGAAACTACAAATCCCATAAGGCCTTGCAAGCCACATGCATGACTCCCGGAGGCAGAAGCATGATGGGATTTGTAGTTTCAACACAGCTGGAGAGCCAAGGTTGCCTAGCACTGCCCTATACCAAACAAGCAGTTAACCCTTACGCTGCGGTGGTACCCCCACTGCAAGGGTAAATGTTTGCCCGGAGTGCTTCTTAACCCCAGACAGGCATTCAGCAAATGCAAGCGGATATCTCAGAAGTACTTAAGCTCCACATAGCCCGGGAATCAGCATTTACTAAATCAAGGGAGCGCAGCAGCAGCCTTCTCTCATGACACCTGCCCTTTGATCAGCTGAGTGCTTCAGCAAAAAAAAAAGGGAAACGCTATTACATAATAAATGATAGCGCTGCCAAGAGCTCCAGTGTTCCTAGACAGCGCTGGCAGCCATGCATGAATGCCCAGGCACAGGCAGTGTTAATGATAGGCTCCCTGGCTGCATGGAGGGGAGAGGAGTGACGAGGGAGGTGACACTCCAGCAGCGATTAGGATGAATGAGGATTGCAGCAGACATGGCAAAACACTTCCTAGCCGCTGCAGCCCAGCAATGACAGCGGTACGGGCACTGACGCTAGCCGCTGCCAGCCTTCCATCCAGCGCTGAGCGCAAAGGGTTATCGGAATGATGCTGAGCGCCTCCTCCTCCTCTACAAGCGCTGCTTGTGGCTCCTGCAGGGATAATATGTGCGTCACGACACGTCAGCCCCAGCATCTTCCTCTAGCCCTGGTCCACACTCAGCCCCTTCCATGTAGCGGGGAGACCGAGGAGAACGCACCGAACTGCCTGGGGTGTATGGACACCATGCCCACCCATCGCCACCTGCTGCCCCGCAACTTCAGCTGCACCGCAGTGCTATATGGAGAGAGCCCAGAGACGCCCGAGGACGAGGATGTCCCCGATGGGGAAGAAGCGCTGGAAAAGAGCAAGGAGCCCAGCAAACCCGTCACTCGGGGCAGAGAGGTCAACATAGTGCCGCAGAGTCCCACCGCACGCCGGAGAGCCAAGTCCCTGCCCACACCTGCCGAGCGCAGGCACCTGGAGGTGGTGGCCCCAAGGAAGAAGGAGGTGAGGTTTGCAGATTCCCTAGGACTGGAGCTCACCTCGGTTCGGCATTTTAGCGACGCCGAGATGCCCCGGGTTCCCTATCACGTACTGGCCGGGCTTCGCTGCAGGGAAACGTGCCCCGCGGGGGCTGAGCTTAGCACGCTCTTATTCCGCCCAATCCCCGGCTCCGCCCACCTGGAGCCTCTCTTTACGAACCCAGTCACCAGACCGGATTACCTAGAGCTGCTTAGACAGCGCAGGGTATGCTTGGAGACTCTGCACACAGACCCTTTCAGCATCAGTGGAGACCTAAGAGTCCTCAATTTGTCTTATGAGAAGGAGGTGGTGGTCAGGTACACTGTGGACACTTGGAAAACCTCCAGCGAAGTGATCGCTGGCTATCAACGGGGGTTTAGCGATCGGTACACCGACCGCTTCTCCTTTAAGCTGCTCTGCCCGATGCTGCTGAATAAAGATGGGATGCTGGAATTCGCCATTCGCTACCGGGTGTGCGGGACTGATTACTGGGACAACAACGACGGCGAAAATTACAAGGTGAAGGGTCACAGGGCCACGGTATCTCCGCTGAAGGAGTACGACAGCGCCTGGATCCATTTCATTTAGCAGCATGGAGAGCCCAGGAAGGCTCAAGATCAGCTGGCCTTCAGATTAGTAGTCCATGTGCCACGGGGCCACAAGGAAGAAGTCTCCAGACACGTGTGTGGTCAATGAGGTGGACGACAAGGATCCAATGAACGATTCACCTACGCTACTGTAATAATTAGTCTAGTGAAACAAGGCATTCGTTATATGATAATAGGAAGTTATAAAAGTGGAAATATTTATTTATGCGCAATGCGTGGCCTACTAGACTCAGTACGGCCACCACACACATGGCAAAGCATATAGTACCAAGAGATCGTTTTGGTTGTCAAGGTCATAAATGCAATATATTTTTGAAGGAACCTATTTTTGAAATGCCACATTGCCTTTCAAGACGAGAATATAGTGGCGAGCAACCATGGCTCAGGGTGTGTACAGGAAGGAAAAGATTCTTATCATTTGTGGCAACTCACCGCAAGTTACAACTCTGTACAGAAGGACGAACGTACGTCTCTGTGTCTGTGACGGTCAAATGTGACCAATGTTCTTGTCTGTTGGGTGTCCACCATCCTTCTCAGCAGGTCTGGAGCATCCCTAACCCAACAAATGCTATACCGAGGAAACCTGCCTAGTTCTGTACTTTTATCTGGTTTACCTAAAAGGACTCTTGGGGTCTATTTATAATTTTTTTTTCACTCAACTCAGGATTCACACATTTTCCCACTTGAATCCCTTTAGAAGTGTGTGAATCCTGGGTGAAGATTGCGCGAATTGTGTGTAAAAACATTTATAAATAGACCTGTTTGTGTTTATTTCTGGATTTAATCTCTCATAATGTGTATTAAGTAACTTCTTTGAGTGTTTTTTTTGCATCAAGTATCTAAAGCAGCCATTTTGTGGGGTCCCCCAATATGCTGTCAGTCCACTATGGCGCTAACACACATTAGCAAGGCGTAAGATATAACGTGTGTTGTGCTTGAGTACCATGAATTGTTCTTGTTGCATCTCATGCACTTCTTGCCTTATCCTGGTAAGTGGCTGCTTTCGATGCAGTTAGCAGTTTAAGGGTTGGTCTACCCAAAACGGATTTTCTTTCTGGATTTGATGTCTCATAATGTGTATTACGTAACTTATTTGAGTGTTCCTTTGCATCAAGTATCTAAAGCAGCCATTTTGTGGGGTCCCCCAATATGTTCTCAGTCCACTATGGCGCTAACACACATTAGCAAGGCGTGAGATATAACGTGTGTTGTGCTTGAGTATTATGAATAGTTCTTGTTGCATCTCATACACTTCTTGCCTTATCCTGGTAAATGGCTGCTTTCGATGCAGTTAGCAGTTTGGTAAGGGACAGTCCACTCAAAACTGATTTTTTTAATTTTCTGTTGTAGATGCTGGTGGGTTGGACTACTTATTGGCATCCTATATGTGCAGTTGAAGCCAAGGGTGAAATCTCTGTACCTCAGGTCTCAGGTCCATCCAACTGGTATGGCCATAGAGATTTCATGCTCCCTGTTAGATTTGTACTATAATAATTACGACAAGTCCAACAGGGGGAAGAATTCCTCTGAGATAAACCAAGCCAGTGGATGACCACCCATATCTGAAATGTCAGTTTTGTATGGACAAACCCTCTAAGGCAGCCTTTCTCAACCTTTTTACCAAGGTGGAACCCTTGAAATAATTTCCAAGTCTTTACTGTTAAAACCAATTTATTGGAGGTTAGCTAAATAGATCTCTGGTGTCCAGTGATGCCACTGGCTCTGCCAGGTGGTGTCAGCTCTGGAACGATGTTGGTACAATATAATGCTAGGTTAATCAGCCACAGCTCAAGGAACCCCTAGGAACCTCTGAAGGAACCCTAGGGTTCCAGGGAACCCATGTGGAGAATGGGAACTTTTAGGCTTGAATTAATTTCCAGGTCTCCCCTGCTAATCCAATGTATTGTAGGAGAGCGAAAAAGATCTCCAGTGCCTCTGCCGAGTGGGGTCAGCTCTGGAACTATGTAGGCTCCATCAATTGGGAGGTCAGTCAGCTACAGCTTAAGGAACCCCTAGCAACCTCTGGAGGAACCTTAGGGTTCCAGGGAACCCATGTTGAGAAGGGAAACTTTTAGGTTTGAAATAATTTCCAGGTTTTCCCTGCTAATACCAATTTATTGGAGGTCGGCTAAAAAGATCTCCGGTGTCATGCCGCTGGCTCTGCCTAGTGGGATCAGCTCTGGAACTATGTAGGCACCATCAAACGGGAGGTCAATCAGCTACAGCTTAAAGGAACCCCTAGGGAACCCAGATTGAGAAAGACTGCTCTAAGGATTATTCATGTTAACTAATATTCCTAATTTGATTCATGGTTCAGAGCTCCACAATTAGAGAGCTCGTTATTTCTTTTCCCAAGGCACCGTAACCATTTGTGTGCCTGTAAAAATGATTGTTTGGGTCAGCTTTTGCATTGGCTGACACATATGACAAATCATTTTTGTGATCCGTGTGTACTAATAGTGTAAAGAACAGTGATGTATCCACGACAGCCAATCGTTGTCCTTTAATCAGTTTAATGCTGCTTACAGTTGAAAGCTGGACTATGATTGGTTGGAGCACCCCTGCACATTACACTGTGGTATTCAGTAAGGGTCCTTATGGTGTTTTTTTTTCTTCATTTAAATCAGAGGTAGGTAACCTTGGCACTCCAGCTGTGGTGAAACTACAAATCCCATGAAGCATTGAAGACTCTGACAGCCACAGGCATGAGTCCCAGAGGCAAAGGCATGTTGGGATTTGTACTTTCACCACAGCTGGGCTGCCTAGGTGGCCTACCCCTGAGTTATGCGATGAAAAGCAAGGATGATTTACAAAGTGACCTCAGCTTCAGTTTATCTTGCACAGTCTTGACTACAGGGCTAGACAAATCCCAGGAGTCAGGTGACCAATGCTCCTTAAAAATTACAGCTGGCGCCTAACCTTTGAGGTTTTCTATAGCTGATGTCAATGAAGCTGGTTCCTAAAGAGAAAACCCTGCTGGCTCCTGGAATGGACAAACTGGCTCCTGAATTCTATATCTTTGTCCACCCCATGGACTACATTTGAAACCTAACTGGTGGCTGTGGGCTACGGCCCTTTGTACCTCATTATTGCTTTTCCTTTTTTTCTTTTTTGTTGCCTTAATCAGTACGTTTGTGTTCACAATCTAGAACTTAAACCTCTTTTTAGGAATTGATGGTTATTCCCGCATAGTGAATCACACCTGCCTGGAACAAGCTGCGCTTTGTGTGATATTTGATGAAATGTATGTATTTTCCTATAAATTTATTTTTGTGCATCTACAGTTGAGATTGTAAATTATAAAGGTCCTGAACACAAGTGGTCCTCGTCTCTGCAATGGAAGTAAGTGCAGAGCTGTGTTAAACAGGTCACTGCTGAATAATTTATGGTTTCTGCACAGTACATTGCCATATGTAGGCTAGCTTATCTGTCTGCTGTTCCCCAAAAAGGGGGTTTATTTTTAGATCCGGAGGTCAGACAAAGAGGACCGTTGACAGACGTGTTTTATCTTCACCACTGCTCTCATTCGTAGCACTGTACTTGCACATGGCATATGTCCATGTACAATTTGCACTATGTTTAGTATATACTTTTAGAACAGACTTATTGTTATACTGGTCTACATTCAATAGTCTGTTGCAAATACTACTGGTATGGTTAGGTTACCGCTGTCCAAAATGATTCAATGTATCTTGTTTTAGTGTTTAGATAATGAATGTATCCACTACAAAATGCTACTTTGGGTAGAGTTTTTTCAGACCCTATAAGCTAAACAAAAGTATCCGTTTGGGGATGTACAGTGGTAGCTCATGAAGTTTGTAATTAATGTATTAGGTTTAATAGCAGTCCAGTTAAGGAGATTAAAATGCTTGTGTGTTGTGTAACTTAGAAACCAACCTGACACAAGTGCTGAAACATTGAAAAATAAAACATTCAAATATGCAAATGCATGTTTGAGGTTACAACATAAAACATCTTCCATAAAAGAAAATGGTGCAGTTGCTAAATCACTTTAAATCATCTTAGCTTTAGGTTACACAGGCTTCAGTTTGTAATAGCAGTGTACAAAGCTTTCAGCAAGCTTGGCACACCTCTCTCAGTAAATGCAGACCTCCGTCTCTGAAAATGCTAGTTGCCTGGCTGTTAGGCTGACTCTGTGTCTTCAATACGTTGAGTCACTGACCTGAAACAGTTTTGCAGATATGGACTTTAAATTTCCTCTGACCTACCTGATCCACGTACTTCCACTGGATCAATGACCTGGAAATTGATGGAACCAGAAGATCAGTCTTATAGCAAGGTCACTAGTGTTTTCCAAAGCAGCAGTGGAACTTCCGTGCTTCTCTTTCAGCAGGTTTATGTTAAAACTTTCTCCAGTCCCACTTTTGAAATGTGAACCTAGATCCTAATGGGAGTGATGGTTGTCAATCTAGACCAGCCTTTCTCAACCAGGATGCAACAGCACCCTGGGGTGCCTTCTTACTTTCTCAGGGGTGCCATTAATTTTTTTGCTGCTGCCAGCACCATAGAAATAAATGACATTAATCCAGAAAGGGTGGAATTCATTCAGAAAAGGATGGAAGTGCTTCATGCCACCTCCTACCCTGCCCCATGCTGCTGCAGCTGCAACTCCTAATGTGAAGCGGGCTTCTGATGTGAAAGGGGGGGTGGGGACTCTGATGTAAAGGGAGGAACCTAACTTTGTTTAGACTTTATCAAGCATGTACAAGCTGAAGCCTGTGTGATCTCTGTATTAGGGCCCATTCGCATAAGGGGGTTGTGATGCATATTACATGTGTTTAGTTGGCCACCATTCATTATGAATGGCACTTTAATGCACCTCCAAAATGCACATGCCTGCCCCAAATTCTTGTGCATTTTGAATGGGCTGTTTAACGTAGTGAACATTAACACACAACAACCTACATTGCAGCGCACAGCATTCTGGTGTGAATGGGCCCTTTGTTTCAAAAAAAGCCTTTGGATTCAATAGGTAAATCCAGCGTACTTTTAACATCAGTTTAAGAAGCTTCTGAGATCATTCAGAATTCATTGCAGAAGCATTTGCAATGCATTTGTCCTGCTTCAGCTGCTTTTACATTCCCGTAGACTTTTATAGAGAGAAAAGCAATTTTGACGAAACATCGACACTGGCCTTTGCTGTTTTTTTAATTAC